TTGTACTGCCGAATGCCCCGCGATTGGCCTAATCAAGAACAGTCACATCGTAAATGAAACAGATTTTAGTGGAAACCGAGACCTCGTATTGCTGGTGAGGTGCACTTTGTAATGAAACGCGGTTATTTCCACCATATTCAAGTGCGTGCGTTTGCTAAATATAGACTCCTATATTTGTAGCCGGAAGCTGTATATTCATAACTTTTGTCCGGTCCTCTTTGCTCGGCATATATTGAAAAAATCCGGTTAGCACATAGGTGATTTTAACCAGCAGGTCGAAGAACGAAAGTGCGCCTTAAGACTGGCCTCAAGAGGTTGACTAACAAACTCAGAACTTAATTCCATGTTGGTTGGTCCGCACAACTTCCTGTTCGTCGCCCACACAAGTACGTCATCATGTAAGTAATTGAGTGATGTTTTTTAATTATATAGCCAGTTACATCTCATTTGCGTGGGCAAAAAAAGGATTGGCAGATTCCTTACAGAGTATAGTATTGCGTGCAACAGACCGATGTTTTGTGCACGTCCTCCTGATCTCTCTGTCCTTATGGTGTCACCATAGATATACCTAGAAAAAAGGAGTTACGGGTGCTAGTCTTTTCCCAAGAGTGGGCCGATGTGACCGTGTGCTTACCTGAGATGCTAAAATACTTGCTGACATAGCGATTGGATGACGTTCGTGTCGCCAGTTTCCATCCAAACTACCTGACTGTTTTGAAGGTGTTCGTTTTTTCTTTACCTTTGGTGAATCAACACTGGACTACATCCTGATGCTATTTCTACATACCTTACAACTGAGGACCCATAATGCAACTGACTGTTCTGAAGGTGTTCGTTTTTCTTTACCATTGGTAAATCAACACTGGACTACATCCTGATCCCACTTCTGCATACCTTACAACTGAGGACCCATAATGCAAATTAGTGTGGTTGTCCGGAGTAGAGAATTGAGGTTTCGAGATTAACCAAAAAAGTCGGTGATCTTCAACACATTCGCTTCTATTTTGATTTCACAAGCTAGGCCCAGTTAACAAATTTTTTCGGTATCCGCAAGATCCCGACAAGATGCCAGAACACCGACTTCGTTCAAGACTAACTGGGTTATGAATGGTTGCAGACGAGCAGAGGTGTCATTTGCTTATCAATGACCCAGCAATCACGCTTAGTGTCCAAAATAGAGCCAAGGAATCCCGCTCTAGACCCTCAGGAGGCTAACTAATTCTAGCGGGCAAGAGCAGATCGCTCAAAGCCAATTGAGTAATTTTCTTCAACAGAAATGAACAGAAAGACGGCGTAACAATCGAAAGCCATTTGTTCTCCTCGATAAGTTTTCAGATTCACCTTTCCTTTGGTTTCAAATTTGTTATTAACCAGCTGTTCACTTGAACAGCACCTGATTTACCACTGAAGAAGAAGAAGAAAAAAGTGACAGTTGCAATCCGGGAGTTTTGGACAGACCGCATAAATCAGACTGGAGTTACGTTTTACTCTGAGTGAAATAATTGAATAAGGGTCAGATAGCGACAAATTTACTCATTTGCTTATCAATTCGGTTTTGACGGGAAACTCATCTGGAACCCAGCTGAATCTCTCGTTTATAATGTTTTTGAGGGTCAGGTAGGCTAAACTAGTGAAATTGCATGGAAATAATGATGCTGACACCACCTCTAGCCAGCAAGAATGAAAACAACGATTATGACCATGATGAACAATTGGAGTTTCAGTGAGATTTCGTCTGTGCTGAACAGCCAAAAAGCCCTGTACCGCCGTTTCGACCTGCTGGTAATCATCTGTCATGCGCATCACATGGGCTCCCAGGGCGATTAAAACTCGCAATCTCCCGTTGGCAGCTGGATATTAGAAATCTCATTACCAACAATAAATAAGTAGTCTGTGCATGAAGAAAATTTGACCAGCCTTCTACCAGAGAAGTCATCTCCCGAGTGGCGGTCAACACATATCCATCTGGTGCAAATCGCGTGACTGAAGAATGTGGTGTTATATCCTATTTAGGTGTGGGTTATTCCCAACGCTGGTACCCGAATGGCATGATGTTCTACTACTAAACGGAAGGTGGGATAGATTTAGCCTAGAACCTCACGATGGTTTCTTCTAAGGATGAAATAGCAATGCAATTCTTCATGGCCTTCAGCAGAGATGAACCTTAAGAATTCCCAAATCTTCTCAAGATCAAGAAACGGTTGCACTGAACATCAACGACACTGCCGGGCCATCGTGAGGAATAAAGTAAGAGGAGCATCAGTGTGTTAGACGGTAGGATAGAGGAAAATAGACATAGTTATCTGAAAGGCTTGGTAACAATCGGTAGATTTATTGGCAGTTTTCCACGTAATGGAATTATTCAGCAGTCATTGTGGAAGGGACATGGAACAAGAGGAGTACGATGCCGCCAAATAGTCTGGACCTTCAGTTGGAAGCGACCGAGGAGTTAATCAACACGATCGACGAATTTGTGGAACACCCTGAATTACTAATAATCCAACCTATACGGAAAGAGAAAGCCACTGACGTAGGTAGACGGTTATCCTCTTCAAGTTTGACGTGAAAAGTTAGCGTAAGATAGACGTTTCTGGGAATACAGATGAATGTGGGATTGACAGTGAAGGCACCACCCTGAATGCCAAAAACGTTAAGACAGATCTACGGGTTATTCCGAAATATTTGTTTCGAATTTATCAGACCCCAACACTGTCGACTTGCCAACATCTGGCCAACTGGATGGCCGTTAAGTTATTTTGGAGAGTAAGTGCGGGTTCAGAAAATTCTCGTCAACGTGTTGTCGCACAGCCGGCTACGGAAATCATCGAAGACAAAACTCGGATAATGTTAGCTCGACAGCGAAAAGAATGCGTCCCTCAGACTACAACCTACCGCCTAAGGAGGGTACATTATAGTAGACTAGAAAAGGATACCGAATCCTCGATGTAAGTAAACATGAAAATAAACCATATGCTGATTGAACGACGAAAATGTCCTGTGGTCAACACTGCAACACCAGTAACATCATTCCATTAGTCCAGGTGTTACATGGATTAGTTAAATGCGCATCCACTGTTGCATCACCCGTCAGCCTCCGAGACATCGATATGACTGAAATGTGCTGCCAGCAAACTACTATGTAGTGCTAGAGCACTCTCAACAGGGGCGGATTTCTGTAACGCAACTACTCAGGCCAACCGCATCCGTTATTCCACCCTTTATAGTAAATTGTAATCATTCACATTTAACTGCTACACGCTCGTAGCGCGCTACATTGTGATTAAGCGCACTGTCACAAGCCGGTCCTACGGACTGCATTAATAACCTATAAGACCTCCACGAAGACAATCCCCTAGATTTCTATGAGATTATTCATCTCTGGAGGGACTATCGCCCACCCACCTAAATGGCTCGCGATAGTACCCAGACTATGGGCCCAATGATTCATAGGAGAGTACAGTGAAGAACGTTCAGGCAGCTCGATGATAAGTCCGAGTGACCTATGTTTGGAACACAAACCAATGACTTGGAAACCCCATAATGTGGTTAAACCAATTCTGATTATGAACCCTATGTTTACCACTTAGGTTTGCTCTTATATTACGCAGAACAACACTGTTAGTTATGTCTCCTCAAACGCTACTTCTCTTGCTCCTTGGATGGAACGGCTGTATATACAAGCTGCTTCAGCAGAATACTCATGCACCACTTAATGATTTGAATGAACGACTGTTTGTATATCGACAGTGATACACTGGTGGTAAGTACGGTCGCTTAACTGAGGTAGAAAGATTAAGTTGCACAGTGAAGAGTGGAAAGAGAAGGGAGGTGGGTACCTGCTCCAAAGACCTCAAGTCTTTGAAGAAGATGAATGAGACGCCCACGTCTCCTAAAATAACACATCGAACACCACGACCCAAAATCCTTTGTGTAGCACCCCTAAAAAAAGTCCAGTGCACAATGACGGACAGAATGAAACTGACAGTCCGGCTGAGAAGTACCAAACCAGCTTGTAGTTGGGGTAGATTATAGGCCACCTGATGTGGGGTTTCGAACTACGGGGAGAGACAATCGCGTAAGCCACGAAGATCACACAGCAATTAACTAGACTGAACAATTCCACTTTGCATTGCCCTGTCATAGCCGGCTCCCTACGATATTTTCGCTCGTGAGAAACAACGCTCTCTTCGGTAGACGATGGTTAGTAATGTGTAAAACGCTCCAAACACTGAGTTGTTGGGTCACAAAGTACTGGATCGCGCACCAGTTTAAAGAGAACAAGCTCTAGTAATACATTGTCGGTAATTTAGTGGAGATTCAATTCGCGAGAGTGAACAAATCCATACTGAAAAACCGAGCAGTTCAGCTGTTTTCATCCTTACAGAGAATCAACATCTCACGAAAATCGTGATCTCCCGGTTAGTAGTTTAAACACAACCAGCTGTTCATCAGTGTTATCAACTCACACCTAGATAGGATATAGCGCCACCATTTAGCCCCCGTCATGCTACAGAGACCAAATGTTTAAAGACAACATAAGCATATAATTTTGCACCTCAAGATAGACCTCAGATGGTCCTCTTTTCAGTTAGTGTACTGCCAAAGTTTACATCGGACCCGAATCCTGGAACGCGAGGATAAAGTCCCTTTACACGAGATCTCCCTTCAAAATATTGCCAACATCGGCCTCAATCAGTGCCCAACTACGGTTGTCACAACCGTTTAGTTTTATGTACGCCTACAGGTGTCCAAATTTCGGGAAGTCGTCCAGATACAAAGTGATGTTGCAGCAAGGTGCTAGGCCACATAAATGCAAGTACCCTCTCACAGTTATCCATCGGCTCGAAACTATTTTCAGTGAACTGTTCCTTCTGTTCACCATCATGCGGCCATTTATCACCGACGACAGCAAGTACCGTTTCAAAGTAGCAGACATGCGGAATGCGCGGCTTCGTCCAGTCCCACGCAGGATAGCCAAAGAGTCGCACACATCAAATGAAGAGAAAACGTTTATTTTCATCTGAAAACAATGTGAGCGCAGTAAAAATACATGGTACGCATGGCATGTGGCGTTATATTTGGCATTGCTGTTCATTTCTTGGTACATAAGATCCAAACTTTCTAATCAGGGCGGACCGTAGACAGATCGACAGAAATGTCCAGTGAAGGTACGTTGGCTTGTGAACTCTCCAAAGAACGAAGAAATAATTAAAGGGATGGTGTTAGGCACGCTTCTCAACATAGCTGACAATGCATTTTAGCACTGCTAATGTGGCAATGTCTAATGAAGTCTATTCAGTCATCCTTATTCAGCGCGCTGATGAATTCTTCCAGTTTTTCCTGTAGATGCCGCACACGCTCTGTGGATGTGAAGAAAAAGACAGTGGCATAGGTTGGAATGACTGTAAATTGACGTATCGTGTAGATTTGAATGAAAAACGGAGAAGACAAAAGCATCTTTGTCAGAGGTATGCTAACGGACTAATCCATGAGTTGATGTTGCCCAATGCAACTAGGTCTATGTCAACTAGGTCTAGCTGTAAGTAACTCGGGCGTAAGTATAATAGGCTAGTATTAAACTTTTTTCATAAAGGAAACTACTCACAAGGTTGCTGAAAACTCTTCGACAGCCCACGACCGGTTTCACCCTTCTTGGGGCTCATCAGGTAGGCGTAGTCCCCGAGTTTCCGTCAACCTTATGATCTACTTGAACCCTGTTTAGCTATTATCCTCGCCGTAGGACTTGTTTGAACAGATTGATGTGACATGGTAACAGCAAAACATCGATCTTCGACCGTGATATTGCAATCAATTACAGTGTATTTATACGTTCACACAACGTAATCAGCGGCGCATTGAACACGAGACTGGTAGGCTTGACGTCGCGAAATCACCGGAACTCTTACATCTCCTGTCTGAACAGCGCTTGTGGTTGCAGTTTTTGACGACCTACAAAGATTGCTCCGTAACTACATTTCCGGACACAGGACGGTAAACGGTGACCTGGCATACGGGTTGAACTCGGATTGCAGGAAAGAAATCGCGTGACCAAAAAGTCTCCGAAAAAGAACCATACTTATATTGTAAACGTCCGATTCTCACAACGGCTCACGGAATTTACCACCCATCAGCGTACACCACAACGTCATATAGCTTGAGACAACGTTTAAACGATGATAAAGCTGTACCCATAGAGTAAATAACATCTTTGAAAATTCACTCTGAATATTTGTTCTACGTAAACTTAGCCAGTTGTAATAGTTCAACATCCTGACCGGTCAGATAACCCCCACCTGACCCACAACCGGTGCACCGCATAGTTACTCTATCGGTTAACCAAGGGACCGAACCTCCAGACACTATTTGAGACGCAGGCATCGATTCCTTAAAACGTAGCAATACTATTTTTTCTCATAACGAAGGTGGTCCCGACAGGTTCCAGTAGTCTGTGGTCCTCGTCTTCGAAAAAACCTTGCGGAATTTAATCATAAATGGAAACTGTGGCGTTCCGAACGGCTGACCTCGTCCCACCGTCTGTAGGCAAAGAGAAGAATTTAATCTAAAAGGAAAACGTGGCGTTCCGAACGGCTGACCTCGTCCCACCGTCTGTAGGCAAAGAGAAGTCAGACACGAGTACGCTGGTTTTATGAAGAAAGTTGCTCAGATCCGTAGAAGACAATTCTGAAGAGGACATGATTGAACACCCTGAAAATGTATGCTTTCTTACATTGCATCTAATGGGACCAGATACATTTCTGTGCTGGACGGCGCTCATGTTTGCGGCCCTTTATTCGAAATGTCAGTACAGAAACTCATGGAGACTGGCATGTCCGTAGTAACGTACAGGGTTACGATGAATGAAATAAAAATGTTAAAGAGGCAACTAAAGTGGTAAACAACTTACTTAGTTCTTCCGCTAATGTCACCCGTCTGCCAGTGATTAGCTTACGAAGCGCAATGGGGTCATCGGATAGCTCAGAAAGCACTTGCTTGACATGGTGTTCCAAGCGCCGAGCTGAACAAAAAATCCGGGTTACAGTGGACATATAATATGATAAAACTGTGATACTAGGTGAGTTAGGGTGCATGCCTGCACGAGAAAAGTAAAAAAACACAACGAAAACGGCTAGCATTCGAAGGCTAATCAATAAACCGACACTTGTCCAACAAACTGGACGGAATACAAAACTTTGGGATTCACATTGACGTGTAGACACCCAGAGGTAGAGGAGCTTATAATCAACAGCCTAGCTGTCATACGCGACACGAATAGGGGTGATCAACTGTCGTCAAGAGTGCAATTCATTGACTGATATTTCGAGCAAATTATCAAGTGCGGACAATTCACCTACCCAAGATGAGTCCTAGTTCCAATGGCAGAAAAAAATATCCGCATTTCTTTTATCACCTCATTCCTGCATTTCAAGCTACTCTTTATTGTGCAAGATGGAGAACAATCGAGCAGAATTGAAACAAAGAGGACATCTAAACAAAAAACTACACATACATCCCTTGACTTACTACTTTAGTGACCATCGCAAAAACTGAGACAATAAAATTTGAAGCTCCGGTCAACTGCTGTTTGTAAAGCTGTTGTCTGGCAAGTGGGATGCCGAATAACATCATACAAACTGCATCGCTATCTTCCAACTAAAACTGTAAAGTTCTGAATCTATGGCTTCAATTGTGTACTAAGACCTGGTCGGCACAGGATAATCACAAATTACTGAACTGCAGTAAACAACACTGGGTGCAAAAACACCAGACCCTGAAAGTTGTGCGACGTGGTCTCAGTTTTAGCACAAAGGACAAACTTCATGACATGGTAAAGGCACTGAATAAGAGTAACAATTACTGTCCCACTCTTTTGCAGCTTTATTTTTGAGACTAGAAGAAAACTGAAGTCCGAGTTTACCTTCGAGGACAAGGAATTCTAGACAACTGTGAAGCGCTTCTGCCGGAACGAAATTTGAGTACACACCAAGCAAACTCACCTTCATCGTTCATTATTTGCTGACGGAGAGCATTCCCAGTGGCTTCTATCATTCGCATCAGGCGATAAAAGAGAAGAACTTCGCGACAATCGGAGTATTCAGTCATCAAATGGCTATTCGGATCACCCGCTCCCATCAGGCTGTCTTGGAGATCTGATTCGGCTTGTGCTGACAGATGCGCTGCTTCGGAGTTGGACTGTACGTTTGAAGAATTCAGAAATCCCTGTTGGTAGTAGTAGAAACTCTTTCGGCAGTCATGACAGTTTTCAAGGGCGCGTTCCAAGTATACGCGTTGAACAAGGGGCTCCCACGTTTCACTGATCTATAAAGGAAAACAGCAGTAAAGGCAACGATGCAGATGGAGAACTTTGAGATGAACTGCAGGTTGGAAAGTATCCTTAATTCACTCATCTGATCTAACAGATTACGACAATGCATGCAGCCTGAATGAGTCACAACACCACACAAAGAAATTTAGTAAGAATCGCTCAAGCATATCGTTCCTTTGATGCATAGACGCCGTGCGATCAGCATAAGACAGGAGGGCTGAGAAAACATGAGCCGGCCGCAGTGAGAAAGAAGTGAGTGAGATGCCAGAGGCAAAATTCTTTCAGCCAGGAGCTCAAATGAATGCCTTGCGGTACTTTGAGTTAGATTGAGTTAAACCGTTTTTGCAATAGGTCTCTCTGCTACCAAAAATAAATTGAGTATGGATACCAGAAGTAGTCGGCGTCGGACATGTTCTGCGTTTAAACTTGATAAGGACCGGAAACAAACTTTGAGCTACGCTGAGAATAGAAAGCTCCTTCTTAAGGGCGTTTCATAAGACTTGAAGATACCGATGAATGCCATCACAGTGGGGAAAGGGAAAATCAAGCATACCATTTGATCGGTTACTTCAATATTCCGGGTCTGTAGGTTACGACGAATAGTAGTCAGATCGTCAGGTGTGATTTTAGAACTAGGTCTCTGTAACGAGAAAAAAAACAAAAGTCATAATACAGAAGGACCAATTACTTATGATAATCGCGAAAAAAAGCACATCAAATCTGCCACTGCTGTACCTTGAAGAGTAGAATACCACCACAAATTACTACCCATTAGTCCAACTTGATTTTTACTCATACCATCTATTCTAGATGGAATGATCCAGTGAGGGAAGGTAGCCTGTAGTCCTAAGGACTCAACAGCGGTAAAACCCACTGTTTGTTTCCAGCTTGAATACAACTTGGTAGTGAAAAAATTGAAAAGGACTAGGCCACTGATAATTTACGAAGTAGTGCAAAGTTTGAAGATAAACCAAGAATTTCATCAAAAAGACCCAGCTATTCTTGAGGTTCCACAGTACAAATACTTCAAGACAAAAATCGCGGCAAAACAAGGTAGTTTTTTGCTAATTTACGAAACTGCACAAGCCTAAGCTCACCAACAGTAGCCCCCCCAGAATACTGCTGTCAACGCAACCTTCATGGATGTGGCCACATATAGGTAGTACACAACTTACCCTGTAACTAACACAAATCTAGCTACCTTGGAAAAATTTAGCTACATCACGCCGTACTAACACCAACTAGTGATAATCTGAATAATGGATAAAATTAATCGTCCAGCTGTAACACCCTTCCGATGACTAGCTGCTATGCTACCCAAAGGAAGCACGAGGGCTGGGATACTGCTAGATTGCTCAAGCCTAGACAGGCGAAGTCGACATGCAGAGGTCGGGTCAGGTCAGTAAATTCGCGCTCTAACCACTGAGCCATCTCGCCCTAGTACTAATATAACATGATACAGAGCGTGTCAACGCCAAAGAGATTGCTGGCATCGGTGAAGTGAAAGATTGCTGGCATCACTTGCCCTTCATCCCCTTACGGTGGCCTGCGAATCGAGATCAGCAAGCGGGATCCCAGCATGATAAGGTTTATGTTGACTATATCCTTGCGCCCATCAGGTACCATACCAATACTATATGTATAACCGGCCTTCTATTTTAGTATTCATGGATTGATAAGGCGCATTCGGCTCGGTTGACAAGTCCGTTCTCCTTAATACGCTTGCCCAGCAAGAAATGACATGGTCCCTACTGCATGATCGGAGGCGCTGTAAAATAAGACTGCTAATCGACGTCGATGGGGTTCTTTTTGCTAGTTTCTATCCGGATTGCCTGAAAGGGTGTCTGGAAGTAAAGGGATTTCTGAATGATTGTGGTAGGGTAGTAATAAGTCCCTTGCCCATCCGCTTCTATTCCTTTCTTCACAATAAGGCTTTCAAATAAATTATGGTTGCACGGTGGTGAAGCATCAGTGATGAATACCGCTGTTATGCTGTCGAAAATGACTTACTGCGTACGAAGATAGCAGTGTAGAGATTTCATGAACTACTTCACGACGTTGCCGCTGTTCGGGAGACAAATTCTGCCATTTGATCCAACGAGCAAGACGGTCCGGGCCACAAAGATCGGATATGGACTGGTTGACTGTTGAATGCATGAAAAACAGTGAATCCAACGCTGAAAACTGTCTAGCTTGTGAAGTGCGAAAACAGGTTGCGAGAGTGTGACAGGTCGAAAAAAAATTATGACTGAGGTTTGAGTTCTGAGTCCTATAGAAAGGCGTTTCTCAAACCAGTCATTCTGATACGTACTTCTGATTTGATGTTGCCTGGAATTAAGTCCAGCTGTCAGAATAATAAAGAATTGTAATGTACAGCCCGGAAGAACGTTTCCAGGACAATTGATGTCTTGGTGTAGTAAAAAAAATACCGAAGTCGGATTCAGGAAAGCACATCCACTGATTTCCATACACTAAACTGCAAACAGTTCGAGGGTACAGATGGAATCCAAAAATCAACTTCCACCTTTCCAGCGTATCTCGTACGCTGCGTGGAAGTGAATCAAAGGCGGACGGAAACCGTTTTTGACAATCTCAACCTTGGCCAGTTTTATATTGTTATACTGTAATAAAACTACCGGACTCTTTATGAGTGCTGAGATTGCTTGTTACTAGCCAGCCACAGCAGGATCCACACATTCTACATCAGGTATCAAAGGCCGATAGGTGGGCCAGCTTAGAACTAATATCTAACGTCACGGTGTGGACCTCCTACGTCCCACTCGAATGGCCCCAGTAAGTAAGCACTTTGAGATTTTTTTAAACACAATGTCTCAGCCACAACCAGCTGCAGGAATTACCGTTGAAGGAACTACACAAGAACTGTTCAAACAAGACTGAACTGTTGCCATTAGCCAGGGTCATCATCATCATCATCGACAGCATGAAATCAGTGTTCAACACCGATGTTTCACTGTCAGGGTACTGGTAGTTCAGGCTGTATGGATGACCACAGTTTTGTTTGCTGAGCGAACGCGAAATTCACGGCTTATTCATAACCTTCACGGTTCCGGACAAGGGACGGAACGAATAATCAGATTTGGCCAAAGGGTACACCAACATTAAAAACTAAGATTTGACTACTATTCACAGTAATAACTCTCAATAAGGGACGTGTGGAGGGGAAACCGCCTCCAGGTACTGAAGTAATAATTTGTTACTTGAAAAGTAGTGTCGGATACAGAATGAAAACTATTCAATAACTCACCTGATTTTAAACGAGTCTTCAAAGCCCGCTCCAGAAATTCGACAGCACTGGTCCAGTGTGCTTTGTCATGAACTGTGCGGTCGTCCAAGGCATTAGATTGAATAACTCGCTGGATGAATAAAAACCAGGGAGAACCATAAAGCAAATCACCATTTCCGTCAGAGAGTCGTGCCCTAGATTATAGCTAAAACGACGGGAAGGTACACACTACCCGACGTGCGTCCATACTTCTTTAAAAATAATTCGAAGTCACAATCAAGAGAACCTAAAAAGAGGCCCAGTGAGGTTACCGTTTGTGTGCGGAAATTGAGAAACGAAAATAAACAGAAAGTTTAGCAGGGTGACCTCACCACCATGGTGAATACGAAAGATTTTCGAGAAAACAGTCAGAAGTGTTCCACAAAGTGAATGATAGATCAGAGAAAAGGAAGAGAAGCCATTCAAATGCTTTTAGACATAATCAGGCACACGAATACTACGTGAGTAAGTGTCATGGAGTACAGAGAAGGCTATCTTACCCTCTTTTGTGTTTGCCTTTCTTTCATTTATGGTTGCTCTGGGTTCGCAAAATTCGCTTAAGATCATTAAAAAATAAAGCCAGAACATTTTCAGTGTACGGAAGTACTAGGACAAGCTCTAAGAACAGTGGATGGCATCAGCAGACTAAAAACTAGTAAACGACCACAAGGTACCACCTTGCAGCGGTGATCGGTTTTCAGCACCGCAATGGTCCTGTTGACTACATTGGCTGAAATTCAGTTCCGGCCCATCAAGTAGCAGACTAAAAACTAGTAAACGACCTCAAGGTACCACCTTGCAGTGGTGATCGGTTTTCAGCACCGCAATGGTCTTGTTGACTACATTGGCTGAAATTCAGTTCCTAGGGATTCAACTATGTGCGGAAGAACAACGTGGAGTAACCTGATGGAGAATTTGGAATCCCGATGGTACGAAGCGGGTTTGGGAGTAAATAAGTACTTTTCGTGGCGAGCGGGAACGACGGAGTTTTCCTCCAAACGAACAGCGATACGCTTTTTCCCCTAAAGGACGGTTTGGAAATGGTTATCCGTGAACACGTTCCGATCGTATGATGGCTAACGTGACAGCTGATACCCAACCAATAATACGTACATAAGCCGAGAGCCTGGTGTTGCGTACGAAGCACCGGCTGAGTGCCATTAAATTACGGGTCCCAATTTGGTATAATGTTTTCTGAACCTTTTGCATTGGTTATCTTTCCACGACCTTGCCGTCGAAGGCTCAGGAGTGCAACCCCTACCATGCCGGAATTCCGCTTGCTGCTCTCGAGTCAGTGTTTCATAAGCCAACATAAGACGAGGGAAAAGTGACGCCGAAAGTCTCGTTAGGATCGGGGTCAAGCTGAACCACCTGATTACCGATCCTCCCCAGCTATCTGGTAGTCTTCTTTCCCCAAATGCACGCCAACAGAGCAGACAAGTGCTGACTGAAGAATCCACCCCTGTCTTTGAATGATGCTCATGGGAGGTCATTCGGACCAGAAGCTCGATGACGCTTGGGAGAACATATGCAGTAATAAAAATCCGAGGCCGCAGGGGGTTCCAGGTTCACCATCCACAGCTTTACTTCAGCTGTAGTATCTAAATGAGTGGCAGCAGGTGGCCACAAAGTATTCGGCCCACCGATCGATACTTCCAAGAAGTTCGCTCAATTCTGATACCTGATGGTTTCGCTCAAAGGTGGTTCCCGGGGATCGGTCACAAAGATCAACAAAAATAATCTTCGGGCATTACCGGATTTCCGCGCCTCTTCCAATTCCTTGGCTTTCAGAATCCACCAGACTTCGTGGCCGCACACACGCTCACTTTCACTTGATACCTGATAGTTCGTCGGACCAAGTTATGTTTCGAACAGGAGGGGATATTTCTCCGAGACTCAAGCAGTGTCACTGATCGGTCTGATATCTAGTGCTTCAGTGGGCCTGCTAACGCCGTGTAAAGTGGGGGCGAACTCGTCCCAGTATGAATTCACATCTGATGGTGGAGCAGTCCGAAGAGTCTATAATATGATTGTGGTAAATTCGACTAACATCCGGATCTGTCTCAGCTACCAAGCGATTTGTCCGCACCTTGCGTGGCCCTGGAAAATGAAGGGAGAATAAACTCCGGACGAGCGCGTTCCAAAGAGCTTCTCTTGGGGACCTATTCCCTAGCCTCTGACCCAAGCGTTCGAACCGCAGAGAGGCGGTTGCTAAAGATATCTTCAAGAAACCTGTCTCAAGCCAGGTAGTCTTGAATGCAGGGGACTAGCCTGGCTCGAGGACCACGTGGGATTGTTCAGCGGTTAGAGCGCGAATTTACTGACCCGGAGGTCCGTGGTTCAAACCCCACCTCTGCCTCTCGACTTCCCCTGTCTAGGCTTGGGCAACCTGACAGTATCCCAGCCCTCGTGCTTCCTTTGGGTGGCATACCAGCTACGCACAGAAAGGGTGTTACAGTGGTTCGAGCCCAGCCTCTACCTATCGAATTCGTCTGTCTAGGCTTGGGCAACCTGACAGTATCCCAGCCCTCGTGCTTTCTTTAGGTGGCATACCAGCTACGCACAGAACGGGTGTTACAGCTGAACAATTTTTTGAGGACACAGAGAGTAGAGCACAGATGCTTGACTATCGATGTTGCTATACACAGAAGATGCTTTTGGAGCCGTAGCGGGTTCATGGCAAAGGTTTATTTTTTTTTTGTTAGGATACAGAGAGTAGCGCACAGATGCTTGACTCTCGATGTTGCTATGCACAGAAGATGCTTTTGGAGCCGTGGAGGGTTCACGGCAAAGGTTTGTTTTTTTTTTTACCGTATTTGATAATTTCGCTGGTGGTCACAGTTAACTGCTAAGCGACCAGAGTATGAGTATTTTAGGGCCGACCATTCTAATCGTTCCTTCTTTAGGAGGTGGTATCGTTCTTTCACATATGGAAGTGCAGGTTGCCTGTAGGAAACACTTTACTCCTTTCGCAGTGCGATTTTACCTCCAGATTGCCTCAATACGAATGTTAGTGTTAAGGGAACTCGTTTCCCATCGCTGCTTCTGGCATGGTTACACCTTGAAGTTCAATCTCTCGAACCATTACAATACTTAATCCAACCGCCAAGTAAAGATGGCAGCTAGTGGCCGCCTTAACTTGACACGGTCATACCAAATTTAGAGTTACGGGTTGAAAAGAAACGAGAAGGCGGTCCGAATCTCGCAGATATTTCACTCATGGTCAACTTACCAGACGATTCTCCGCCTTGTGGTCCCAAGTGTGCCTATTCCGTGTCTCCTGAAGGACCTTCTTCTTTAGCTGGTCAAAAATTTTATCGTGACCAGGAGAGTGTTGAACGGAACTCAACTTGTTTTCCAACTGGCTGTATAGCGTTTTCCAGCCCACATTGACTGCGGTCTTCGGTAAATCCTTTTCAACCCAATCACGAAGCCAAATGTCGATGTTTGTTTGAAACGCGCTGTATTGGAGAAGACAAAACTGAGGGTTAAGGTTAACACAGTCGGATGGATTCCCAGACTTCACTTAGGTAAACGGAGTACAAACGACCAGTAAAAAGGAAGCAACTGGGAAGTTCTCATAGGCATTTAGAATACTAATAGGTGAAAACTTTATAGTTTTCTGAAACATGATGATTGTTGGCTTTACAACGTATTATGAGACCTGACTCACCCTAGATCATCCAGCTGTTGTGCCGGTTCAAATATCTCTGTAAAAACGTGATCTGCCAAATCGTTCCAGAGTTGCATGCGTAGGCTGCTCTCCCATGTGGCAGCACTAATTCCATTCAGAGTAACCAGATCGTCAAGTATTTCCGTGCGGGCCTTTTCGAACAACTCCTCACGATCCATTTCTCGGAGATGTGGGAACGAATTTTTCCACTCGGCTTCGAGGTTGTACCGAAGCGCTGGCAGCAAAGTAAGAATATGCATTCCTTAATACTATATTCTCAAACTTCGACAAACCTCTAAGATGCTTTTTTCGTTTTGAAAAACATTCGACCTGGCTAGGATTCGCATTGGCTTCCTGAAGCACTGGAAATTCAGTGGGGACTAACCAGAAACGGTTTAATCTGAAGGAAATTGAAGTGTCTCAAATGACCATGTTTCAGTGGCTTATTTGAGAACTGGCGTCAGCTTAACCACTGAGCTATTCCGAGCTCGACTCGTGAGAGCAGCGTAAAACAATTTAAATGAGACCAAGAAATTGGGTTGGTTAGTTCACTGGTGCCATCAGAAGGAGCCATTGAAAGCGGTCACTTCTGAGGAATAGTCTACTCTGTAAGTGAAATTACTGTTAATGGAAGGCTCGACAGGTAAACCAAAATTGGGAAATTCTAAGGAATGGTCTCTCATGAGAGTGGTCTCTCCAGAGGGGTACGACTGCATTGGTCGCAACTGCGATGGGTAGTGTCGCACTCATTGGTATTGTTTCAAGGACAGTCTTTTCCAAGTCTCTAACGTTCTAATTACTAAGTGACTGGGCAAAGAAAAATAGCAGACACTAACCTCTGTAAGTGTCCGCTTGCTGTTCAACTGAGTCTTTTACCATTTTCCAAAAGCACTCAGAAACTGCTTTGCTCAGGTTCGCTGTGGTCATCTGAGACAATTGGAGTGTCCCTTCTCTGAAGAGACGGGAACTGCGGAAGAAATCCTCTTCGTATTCTTTGATGCTCTCAATGCTCTCATCCTTGGACCCTGTTGATAAATAGGACAACAAAACCGGAGACACCCACCTTTCCCGGTCACGACGGCAAAGTAGCCCAAAGCTTTCATGGGAAACAGCTTCCCTTCGAGAATCTGTTTAATCTGTTGGAGTTATGGAAAGTGAAATGAACGAGTCTGTCAGCAACAGCATACCCGATTTGGATTATAAAGGTTGGCCTCAGCCAAATCCACCTTGGTGAGCACGAATATGGTTCGCTTTCCAGTTGGATCAACAGAGGAAACTAGATCGGTCACATTGCTGCGTTCTGCATCAATGCTGCCATCTGGAAAGTGTGGAGAGTGGAGAATGAGCTGAGGATTCTTAAAGCATTGACAAGTAGGTGTGATAAAACAGGATACATCAGAACCCTATTGAAACAAAACCATCAAAACCTGGACAAACGTTTTTCATGACAATTCAGCCGTCAACCTTGGCCAAGATTTAAATGCTGTACAGTCTTTTCAATATCGTTGTGAGACAAAAGAAAAGTAATGCTTCTTACCATAAACTGAGCCTGAGGGAAACTTTTCTGGGTGGATTCACCTTCTCGTAAATAAAATCCATCATCACTCGTGATACCCTCCTAAATTTTCCCAATTTCTACGTTGGGCTAGCAGCAAACCTCTATCTACGAAGATGGTAATATCTGGAGGATTCAAGCGGCTGAGATGTGAAGCCAGCAAAGCGGTAAGAATATAGAATCCTTCATGATTTTCGCAACAACCTCACTACTAATACATAGAATGCACCTGTTGATAGGTGCAATTAGGAACGAAGGCCAAAATTTACAGCACTGTACCATGAAGGAAATGATGTAAAATCAACAAAATTTGGAGAACAAACGCAACAAATGGGCGGCTTTCGATAGCGAATTCCAACCAGCTTACCTTAAAAAGCTTCAGAGTTTTAGCGAGTAACTAGACAAATTACTAAACGCAGGCTCTTGACTGCGTGTTACAGCAACCACCTGGTTGGATCTGGAATCACAGATTTACGAGGGTGTGCACACCTAATGTGCTGACGCGTTTTTTAACATACACACAAACACACATACATACATACAAACTTACATAATAGAAGAGCCAGCGGTTTATAGTAAGACCATCTTACCTCCTGCCTACTAGTGTGAACAATTCACTCACCGTTTTGTCATCCGAATGCACACGCCTGTTTTGAATACTGACAAGCGAGCCAAACTAAGGCGCGAACCTATTGACTGGAAGGTCCGTGGCTCGAGTGCAATCCCGACATCTTGACTGCTTCTGTCTAGACTTGGGCAAACTGACAATGTCTAAGCTCTCGTGCTTCCATCCAGTGACATGAGAGCTAGGCATTGAAGGAGTGTTACAGCTGAACAATCATTATTTACTGCTCTTATGCCTATAATTTATAGCTCCTTTACCTATTCTGAAGACCTTGAAATTCTCGAAAGTACATTTCGTCGACAAAATTCTATTACGATAGAAATACAGTGGTCATACCTGTCTTGATTCCCTTTGCCTGATCCACATATGAGGATTTTCACTCATCATCAGCATACTTCAAGCAGACAAGATTTTTTTAGTGCAGATTTTCGAGTTATCTAGACACGTCAGTTCATTTCTGTGGTACCATACATTGTTCTCACGACGTTATTGTGAGAAGAGACGAGTTCAAATCACTTCGGCTCGTGTGAGTAACCAAACAATTTAACTGGTACGTATCCAAAATTTCGACTAGGATCACACTAGAACGGTTAATACTGCCCTTCGTTTCAACTAGTAGGCACCAAGATACTTCCAGTCCATCACGCACTGGCTTCTTCTACGGCCAACTAACAACTAGCTAAACACGCATTTGTCACGAAAGCATACCGAGCACACAAAGTTCCATAGGTTTGTGTGACTGCTGTAAAACCGTTGCAACTGCCGTCTAGACACTCACATAATGCTACAAGGTATTCCACACGTCTCAGTACGAACTAAACCGGATCGATCGCGGAAAACTATACGGATGAGACAGCACCAGGCTACTCGTATCGGGTCCCTCTAACAAGGGGACACAAAACTACGAAAAATTCGGATTAATGGGCATAAAAAACGAAGACAAGCAAAGGGCATGGACACAAGCCGTCACAAGCCGATAAGCAAGAACACGTCATGAAACATAAGTTAACACGAAATCACGAGAAATGTCATGGGTATACAGGAGGACCCAAGTAGAAAGGGGCCGAGGTAAGGGCGAACTGCTATAGGGTCCAAGGGATTTTAAATCTACGCTAATTCACCGCCCTCGAAAACTCTTGTCCACTTGGTTCCTCATCTGAACTGGCTCCCCTGTTCTAAGTTGCTCCGTCCTATGTCGATCAGCGCAGCTTCCAATGACCCTATTGGTTGTGACATATTCGAAAACCTACCTCCCACCTGAAGAAAGTCACTCGTGCGACACGCTTATTTTTGTGTCTGGTGCCCCCCACCCCGGTTGTACACACTTTCTCCAAGCACACCCACTTGTTGACAAAGCCGGACGTGGTGAAACCTCTTACATACTCACATATCCTCGGCCCCGGACATCTGTTGTGTGGCGAATGCGTTACCACTGGTCCCCCAGCGCGCGCTGGATGCACTTGAACTATTAAGTCTGAACAGGCGAACCTGTTCACACTCGAGTGATGTGACTATCACCTTTACATCCTTTATGGCGCATCCGAATTGAGGTGGGGACAAATGGCCTGCCTACTACACTACTATAGGCAGGAAGCCTCAACGGCCCCCTAGTGATGGCATACGTATTTTGACAGGGATGGTTAGACGAGTAGGTACCAACATTGCAACCCGCTGAAAAATGGCTATGCTCAGTCAACAAGTCATCTTGTCAACATCTTGAGAAATTACGTAAAACCAGGGCACAGGATAAACATATCAAAAGCCCAAATAAAAACTACCGATTGTTTACCAAGCTCTTCTGAAACGATATCGTGAGACTAGTTTTCTTCAGGCCAGCGGTGGGTCGTCGAGCTTGCCGCGTACAGTAGAGCCACTGAAAGCTTCGCCAACCGACAAGGGACAGGGAAACTTAGGGTAGGAGGAGCGGTACCGATTAGAGACACAATGGACAAGGCCTGATGGAATTTTCGAAGGCGGGGTATCGAGCGAAATGAAAATTCATCAGGCCCTTTGGCAATCCACATCTACTTTAGTCCTTTTACTAAAGAACCTCTATCTGATTACGGGTGGCCTTCCATATATCTTTATGAAGAGTACTGTAAGCTATAAGGGTAAATATGGATTTGGATTATATGGAGATTTCGTTCACTCATGCTGTCGAACAAATACCACTGCGAAACGTTATGTTCGAGTTCGGTGAAAGTAAACGTTTATCAGCAGGTAAACAGAATAATCATAGTCACGAAGTTCTATGCCGACCCAATGCGCGTTCTCAACTGGTGGGTAGTCACACCACACAACTAAAGAGTTTCAATGGCTACATTTTTGTTAGGCAATCTCACTCATAGGGTCTCTTTTTTCCCGAAGGATGCATACTGCTCATCGCCATATATGCACCACCAACATTACCAGAAATAGCAACATCACCGTTAACAAGATTCACCGCCAGACAGTCACAAGCTTTAGCTGATCATATATTAAAAGTCACACAATCATGGAGAAACTCGGTGCTAGCGTATTGCAAACGTTCTGAGGTGAATATACCTTCAAACACCTAAGCTGGCAATTTGGAAAGGAACCAACAACAATGACAACAGATACCCAATTCTTGCAACGTCTCCAGCCAACCGCACGCAGGGTTATGTGGATCCTATCTTGGAAAGTGGACAACATCAACAACACAGCTTTCTGCCAATTCACGTCCTTCTCAGTTTTCGCCATTCTGAATTAGGTACGGAAAAGGATACTCGTCTAAGTAGACGAGCACATGGCCGAGCCAATGGGGTGGAAGATGCTAGGCGTTTTCCGTGACTCGCACACCCTATTTACCTCGTTACTAATTCAGTCTGTAGCCTTGCACTCTGTAGGTGCAAGACGCATGCCAAGAGGTGGTACAACAATCAGTTTATTCAACAGGACCGGTGCTCGGACTGCATCTCCAGAGAAGAAGACGATGTCGCTTGCATACTCCTGACTGACAAGGTTCCCACCAGCAACAATTTCATCACAGGGTTCCGAAAACTCCCCAGCACCCGCCTCATTATTTCATCAATGACGAAGTTGGACATAAACGGAGATAGTGGACATCCTGCGCGGATGCTTCTAGAGAATTTAGCATTCAGTCATATACTCGGATGTGTGAATATAAGGACTGGATTATGTTCACAGACATCTGGGGCATTCCCCGTAGAACAAGTGCAGTTAAAGGCACTAACTGATTGACAGAATCGAAACGCATCCTTGAAATTAAGGAACACCGAGACTATGGGTCATCTGCATATATAACGTTGCTCTAACACCTGGCGGGATGTAAACATGCGAAGCAGCAGGTGATGAAATGAACAATTGATTGAGGTATTCCGTCGATCGGTCAAAACGTTTTCTTCCTAAATATCAGAGTTATCGTTGTTTGTGGTGTTTTCACTGACAAGAGACTTCCGAGCATCTGTTGAACGAACCAAATGGAACAGTCTTCCGGTACTTCTCGCATTTATCGCTTCTTCCAATCCTTCGAGCTTCTGGGTCCACCAAATCTCCCTGTTTTCACGGACACAGTTCTACCTGGTGCAGGACGGTGTGTCGAATGGGGGCTGCGAACGGACGGAGTCAGCCGCCGGGCCTCCGACAAAATGGGTCAAGTGCTTACAAGTGACTGGAAGCCGTGTACTACAGATTGAAGTCCGGGTATCACATAAAGCTTTGGTCCGTGGACGTTGAATCCGATGTCAGAAAAGCAAGTGGGCTAAGGAGAAGTCGACTATGATAGGTTTTTTATTTCTGGGCCTACGAGCTTCCCAACGGGTAAGCAAGGTGTGCGCGTTTTGCCAAAACTAAAAAACGCGTAGAAAGGCAACAACTGATAAGTGCATTGTCGGTGTTCACGCAGAAGTTCCATTATTACAGTTAGACAGTGATCGATTCTCGTCACCGGTAAACGATGGCACTGTACCCAGTTGGGTTGGGAGCACCCAACATGAAGCTGTCACATTGACGAGGTGGTCGGGCTTGAGTGTTGCAATGATCCCGCGCAATACACTGGCTGGAACTTTGTTCCACAAGGTCTAACCATACCATGAAGGCCAAAGTAAGCAGACAGACCAAGACCACCTAGACCCCGTACTATGAGTAATCGTAATAC